GGCAGAATTGCTAGAGAATAGGGCCCAGATAATTACAATTTAAAAGTATGTTCTCATTCCCTACATCTCCCTCCCCTCCTCCACTGCAGTCCCAGACAGGCGATGGCAAAGTCAGTAGTTTAGAGTGGATGATCACTGTGACTGCAAGTCTGGAAGAGAGCAAAGAATGAAAAATAAATCTAGTACTTGCTGATCCAGCTAATATGAAAGTCAAGGAAATTAGCAAAGCTCCTTGAGAAATGTCACAGCATTCCACTATCAGAGGGAACCACTCCACATTGGATTTGAAGGCTAGGAGTAAAAGGTTTCAAGACACCAAACTTAATTAAAAAAAAACCAACATCAAACAAAATGCAGTTTATTTGAGCTATTTATTCATTAACAGAAGAATCTTTTCCCTTACACTTGATAGCTAGGGAAGTATGCTGTCAACAGCAACAAGAAAGTCTCAGAAAAACAACTTTTTCTTACACAAGGTATATTCAATTACTTGCATAAAAATTCTGAAGGTAAGCAAATGAAAGGTAGTTGTGATTTCCAGTATGTTTGGTTTGGGCTAGAGAAAAGAAACCAAAAAGCATCCTGAAATAGTAAAGTAAATTTAATTATTCATGGAAAAAACACACAAACATGAATAATGAGATGCATAACTCCAAGAGATAACGGAGTTGTGAACACAAGTTGGTGGAGCTTGTGATCCTCAGGGCAGTGAGGAGGGTGCAGAGCAACCTCACTGCCCTGGATTTTAGGAGAGCAGACTTTGGCCTCTTCAAGGACCTACTCAATAGAGTCCTATGGGGAAGAGCCCTGGAGGGCAGATGGGCCCAAGAATGATGACTGATATTCAAGGATCGTTTCCTCCAAGCTAAGGAGAAATGCATCCCGACAAGGAGGAAATCAGGCAAAAATGCCAGGAGGCCATCACTGATCTATAAGGAGCTGCTAAGAAAACTCAGAGCAAAAGAAAAGGTTTCAGAAGGTGGAAATGAGGACAGGTGGCCTTGGAGGAATACAGGGAAAACAGATGGGAATCTTGGGATAAGGTTGGGATAGCCAAGACCCAGTTAAAATTCAGTCTGGCCAGGGACACAAGGATGACAGGAAGGGCTTCTATAAGATATGTTACAAATATAAGAAAGATGAGGGATAATGTGGGTCCTCTCCAGAAGGAAACATGAGACCTGGTTACCATGGATAAAGAGGAGGCTGAGGCTCTCAATGACTTCTATGCCTCAGTCATCAACGGCACGTGCTCCAGCCATGCTGCCCAAGTCGAGAAAGGCAAATGCAGGGACTGGGAGAACAAAGACACTAAGCCCACTGCAGGACAGGATAAGATTTGAGACTAGCTAAGGAACCTGAATATGCACAAGTCCATGGGACCTAATGAGATTCATCTGCAGGTCCTGAGAGAGTTTCCAAACAAAGTTACTAAGTCACTATCCAGCATTTTTGAAAAATCATGGCAGTCAGGTGAAGTCTCTGATAGCTGGAAAAAGGGAAATATAACCCTCCTTTTTTAAAAAGCGGAAAGTGGAGGACTCAGAGAACTACGTACCAGTCCATCTCACCTCTGTGCTAGGCAAGATACTGGAGTGGATTCTCCTGAAAACTATGCTAGGGCACATGGAAAATAAAGAGGTGACTGGTAACAGCCATCATGGTTTTACAAAGGGGAAATCACGCCTGTCAAATCTAGTGACCTTCTCTGACAGGGCTACAGCACTGCTGGATAGGGATAGAGCAACTGACATATTTGCCTGGACTTATGCAAAGCATTTGACACTGTTCTGCATGACACCCTTTTCTCTAAGATGGAGAGACATGGACTTGATGGATGGACCACCTGGTGGATAAAGAACCGGCTGGATGGTCACACAAAGAGTTGTGGTCAAGTCATAATTGTCCATGTGGAGACCAGTGATGAGTGGTATCCCTCAGAGGTTGGTACTGGGGCCAGTACTCTGGGATCGAGGGCACCCTCAGCAAGCTCACTGATGACACCAAGCTGTGGGGTGCAGTTGACACGCTGGAGGGAAGGGATGCCATGCAGAGGGACCTTGACAGGCTTGGGAGGTGGGCCTGTGTGAACCTCATAAAGTTCAACAAAGCAAAGTGCAAAATCCCACAGTTGGGTCATGGCAGTTCCAGGCACACTTACAGGTGTGGCAGAGAAGTGACTGAGAGCAGCCCTGCGGAGAAGGCCTTGGGGGTGATGGTCCATGAGAAATGCAATATGAGCTGGCAGTGTGTGCTCACACCCCAGAAAACCAAGCAGTGTGGGCAACAGGTTGAAGGAGGTGATTCTCCTCCTCTAATCTGATCTTGCGAGACCACACCCCTAGTACTGCATACAATTCTGGTGCCCCAACATAAGAAGGACATGGAACTGTTGGAGCAAGTCCAGAGGAGGGCCACAAAATTGATAAGTGGACTGAAGCACCTCTCCTATAAAGACAGATTGAAAAAGTTGGGGCTGTTCAGCCTGGAGACCTCATAGCAGCATTCAGTTTCTGAAAGGGGCTTACAGAGAGGACGGAGATGGACTTCATCATGAACTGTAGTGATAGGACAAGGAGTAAAGGGTACAAACCAAAAGAGGGGGACATTAGGATGAATATTAGAAAGAAAGTCTTTACTGTGAGGGTGATGAGGTACTGGAACAGGTTGTCCAGGGAGGTTGTGGATGCCCCAACCCTGTCAGTGTTCAAGGCTAGGTTGGATAAGAACTTGAGCAATCTGATCTTGTGGGAGGTGTCCCTGCCCATGGCAGGGGGAATTGGGACTAGATGATCTTTAAGTTCCCTTCCAACCCTTAACATTCTATGATTCTATGATTCTATAACTCATGAAGAATTAATCTAAACACATAATATGTCAGAACTTCCTGATCCAAACAGAAGAAAACAGGACTATATAGTTCATTCTTTATTTAATTGCTAGACAGTTATTTTACTTGGTTGAATCTGATGGTCCTGATTCTACTCAATATTCTCATTAAAAAAAAATAATGGCATTGCTGGTATTATTGGTACTTCTGCTGCTGTATTGTTGTATGTATTAGAATAACAGAAAAATTTTGATGTCTGGTTCAGATTGCAGCTAAAAGTTAAGTTTGTCAATACACAAGCCTATATATTTTATCAAGTATTCCTGATTCATTGCTTGAGAGTGAATAGGTATTACGGTCAGTTTTCAAGAGTGACAGGGTGAATAAATGTCACCTATCTTAATCACAGGCAAGTCAGCAGATGGATTACTTTGATTATTTATAATTCCACTTCAAAATGTCATGGAATCCTGATCACCAGGTTTGTTTTCTTCCTAAAATAAGTCTACATTCTTGCTGATGTCCATCAACAGTTCTAAAAATTAAAGTATGCCCTAAGCTCTCTTAATGGCCCTTGTGAGCGACATTTTTTGTGAAGCAGTGAAAGTGTAGAACACATCTTCAAATGTAAACAATTGCTATGCATTTATGTCTTTTCTGTATAGTTCTGTTGGCTTTGGATATAAGTATAAACTTTGCTTTCAGCAGAGTCCCACAGGCATGATTATTACAGGATTTACTGCCTCATATGAATCACTGAAACAGCACTTAAGAAAGAAGTCTGAAATAAAGATTGTAGTATAAATAATATAACTGCTGGATACTCCACCCCAACTGAGGATGTTGAGAAGGTATGTTTTCATGTTTGGTTGGGGTTCCTTTTCTTGTTTATTTGGTGTTTTGTGGGGTTTTCTTTATTTGTTTGTTTGGTTGGTTCTTTTTAACCTCAAGAAATGTAAATAAGCAACTGACATAATATAATAAGAAAACTCTCTAAAATTAGAATTTGAAGCTGCACAGCCAAGGAATCAAATAATTATTTTTCATAATTGCAGGGCAGATCAATTGAATTTGGCCTGATTTTCAGCATAGGCTTGACTAAAATCTTCAGTTTAAACCTGCACCTAAGATTTGCTTGATCTGAAACCCGATTTGTGAGTAATATGAAAATAAGTCATAAAATGATAACTCTTTTGGGGTTAAGCTCTCAGAAGGAAATTGTAAATGCAAGTCATGGAAAAGGAGCCACCAGAAGGAAGAAAGCAGGGAAAACCCCACAAAGTCCAAAAGGAATTTACATTTTTAACACTCAATTTCGGAGTGTACATAAACTTCAGACTGAATACCAATATTAATCAGAAAATTCTCTGATGGACAGAATTACAGATTCATTACATTCATTACTTCCTTCCTCCCCTAATCTTGGCATGAACTACAGGAAAGATACCTTAGAAGAGATCTGTCCTTCAATTAATGTATATTGATTATTTGCTTAAGTCAAGATATATACTCAAGATTAGATGCAGCTGAAACACAATGATGATTTCACTAGTCAAAAGTATTTTATGCCACATTAGATTTTGGTAGCATTAGGAAGAGTTTATGAATTCTTTATTTTTACCCTTTTTGGTGAGATGATTTTTGGAGTAAACTATTACAGAATATGAATCATACTGACAGAATGCAGCATAGCAATTATTTCCATTTCTGCTGATATGTGTTGTTAGCCATTCATTAGCATATCATTTAATTATGCTGAGACCTGCTGACACGATTGGAAATTCTGTGTTGTTTCTGTGGGCCAGCTATTCCCTGTGTTGGAGATTACTTTCGGTAATCCTTTTTTCGCTTTATTTTGCTATATTATTCTTGAAATTTGCCACTTCAGCTATTTGGTGTAAGCAAGCACAGAGGGAGATTCCGATTGGTTTTTCAAGTACAGAACACACTTATTTGCAAGATTAGGTACTTGATTACCCAATAATGTTAACATAGGATATTTTACTCAGCAAATTACTGTATTCTGATATCTGACAATAATGATTTCTTTTATTTCCCTTACTTTTCAGATAATTCACAACTCTTATTGTGTCAACATTAGTATGTATACCCTATATTCCCTCAGATACAACAGGAAAAAAAATACTGAATGCTAAGAAAAGAAGCTTACCTGACCGTCCATCCCGTTGAAAATCCACATGGTACCATTCACCATCATTCACCTTCTTCTGCAAGGCTTTTATTTTTATAGTACCTGATCCCATGTCTAACAGCAGGTAGAGGTGGCCATCAAGCATCTCGATGGCAAAAAAGTCAACCTTCACCATCTGTGGATGTTTGGCATCTTTTTGGTGCCTTGGTTTCCCATGACTGAAAAGAATTAGGCCATTTGGCTCAGTTGTACGAAAATCAAATGATATTGAGCCTGTTTTCTTGGCATTCCACTTTGGCAAAGAGATGAATGATTCTGGTGTTTCAAATGTGATTGGATCTAAGGTTGCAACATTCTCACATTTAAATGCTACAACCCCATGAATCTTCATTTTAGGATCTCCTTGTTTGGCAAGTCGAGATAACTCCAACCTGACGTCATTATTTTTATATACAACCTGTAAGAAAAGCAGAGAAGTTACTCAAAGAAACCTGGCCATTTTAACCAAACAGATATAATCCTGAACAGGCACATTATTTAAAGGATAACAACAATGATGTATGAATATGATCATTTACATACACACAAAATTGAAAGGTATTTTCATTGACTAATGATTTAATAATTGTTTTCATTAAACCAAACCAAGTTGCTCTAAAAATATCCCTAGAGTTAATTCTAACAATCTGAAAGAATCTACACATAATTTATACTATGAGTTGCAAATTAGCTTGTGTGGCCTTGATTACTTAAAAACCCTCTTTGCACAACCATTCTGTTACAGTAGAGAAGTATAGGATTTCTTCTTCCTCTAAAACCCTTTGTCACTGTCTTAACTTTTCTGTTCATGTACCAAAAATGTACCAAGGTCAGATATCTCATAATTTAACATCTTTTCAGTTTGTCCTTGCGGCTGAGGAATACTAGCATTCATGGTATCCATTAAGCTATAAGATAGGCAAACTGGTATCATACAGATCAAAACAGACAAAACCAGGAAAATCTTTGAGCCAGTTCAATTGGACAAAAAATAAATCAACTTACATATTTTCCCTGACTGAAGACTTTTCTGATAAAAATGAACGACAATATTAGTTTTAAATCCAATTGACCTCTGCAGCAAATATTCTTGTTCAAATTACATTTTTACTTGCTCCAGAGAAGCCTGTCATGATAAAAACATTTCCCAGTGTTCTAGTCTTTATTAGTATATTCTGAAATTGCTGCTATTTCAGAGTTATCCAGAATACAAGGGCTGCTTAAATGACACTCCCTAATACCAAAGGAGTGAACAAGTATTTTGTCAATACTTTTAATTGTTCAGTAAGTGACACACTCAAGCTAAAATACCACTGAATGGCTGACTATGACCCCATAGAGACAGAAGCTAAAACCTTCGTCTCTGTTTCTAAGGTTAAGCCCTACATTAAAAAGCAATTTGAAGAAAAGACAACAGCTCAGCAAAACCAAGCACTTTGTGCTGAAGCTTCTTCATCTACAGATCTATACCATTCAGGACTAGATCATGTCTGGCCCTCGATCCAATATTCCAACTATACAGTGCAGTTTGAAGCTGTTCAGGGGACCAGCCACTGATTTAGACCTTACACCCCTATTAGTGGTTAGAAAGTGCTTACTGAACTCTCAGGATAGAGCTTCTGGGTTAATTTCCTCTGAGACCTAGTTTGAACTCAAATGAAACCCACTTTGACACACAGAAGGAGAAGACACAGGGGATGCGCAGCAGAACTGTGCTACTGTTAGAAATCAAAACACCAGCATACAGACAGTCTAAGATGGCATACCCCATAAGTGATAGTTGCTATCGAAAAACGGTGTTTAAAGACACCAGAACACTAAAGAAATGACTGATAGTGTGACAGGTTTTTACAGTAAGAATTATTTTCTTTCTAATTATATAATTATCCACGCTGCAAATTTCATCATAAGGCATGGCAGAATTATTCTACTACATTAAAATGTTTCCTAATAGCTAATAAATAAGCCTATTTCTTCATTCTATTACAGAGTTGAGTACAAGTAATGCTGTTTCCATGGGAGCTGTGTCTCCAAAGACAACAGATAAACCTCACTATGGATTGCTGAGAGCAGAAACGATACTCTGCCACACAGGGGCAGATAATGTGTTGCACTCTTAACTGAAGACATCAGAAGTGAATAGAATTGGACCAAATTTTAATACTAGAGAGTAAGGATACATATTTCCATATATCAAATACATCCATAACACCTGAGATATCAAAGATTGTGCAAAGAAGTTTAGAAGAGTACTGGAGAATAAGCACACACAAGTGATCTCCCTTTGGTGTGACTTTCTGTCTTCAGAGTGAAGAAAGCCAAAAGGCAGCAGAACGCAGCAAGAAGTCAGTAGACTGGTAGGTTACTGAGAGATATCTGGTCTCATGAAACATTGGCCACTTTCTGCGGCAAAAGGGATTTTGGATAGCTTCCACTTCAAGAAGTTACAGGGGACAACCTTTCTAGATTAGACTGAAAAGCATTACATTGTAGCCAGAGAATACAATAAAACAAACAAACAAAAAAGGAACAAATTGGCTCTTATCAGAATTAAATCACACATGATGACAATGAAAATAAACAAGGTAATAAAGAATATGAAAAAATCTTTTTTTAATTGTCTACAGAACAAGGGTAGGTGACAGGACAAGGCAAATAAAGGTACAAAGAGATTTCATTGTTTATGGACAAATCAAATTGTCTGATATTAATGAAAGCTGGCCAACTGAATATTAAAATTAGGAGTTAATGGATATGCTAGAAAAACTATCTAAATTGGTTAAAGTCTGAAGTCATTTGCCAATTCAGAAACAATAATTCACAATAAATACAGTACTTGAACAAGAACCTAATGGACAAAGAGCAAACAGGAATACTAGCAATTGCTTTCTCAATCTTTAAGTAGCTTAATATATAGGAGAGAAAAATTGCTAGAACAATTTAGCAAATATTGTATGCCACCAATATTAAAACATTCTTGGAATCCCTAAGTATTGCATATGACAATTTCTAACTTCCATATTCCAAACAGAAACTCCATAGTTACTGAGAAGCAAATGACTGCATATTATTACATTCATTGTGTGGAAACTAAATAAAGCCTATATCTAAGTTTTAGGGTGCTTATGTTCTATGTTTTAGAATGCTTATATTTCTTTAATCTTACTAAATGGAAAATTTGGAAGTGAATTATTGTGGATAATTAGTATTAAAAGAGGAATAACTGAGAAAAACCGTAAACTATTAACTGAACACAGCTGGCATTTGAGAACCCATTTCCTGGTGTTATGCTGAGATTCTTACCCGTCTCCCTATCCATGAAAAATGTACTCAGCCATCAGTAAACCACAGTAAACAGGAGGAAAACAGTGTGTTCACAGAAAGTAGTCATCATTAAATTTTGGGAAAACACCTGAACAGTAAGGAATAATTCTGAGATGAATATCTGCTTTATAACTCATGAAGGTATAGAAGTAATGCTTCATGTTTTAGAAGTAATAGCCTCTAGGGTACAAATAATTTACTCATTCAATCATTTTGCCTTTTTTTTTTTTGTTTGTTTTTCCCTCTGGGTACATAAGGACAAACATGTTTTTAATAGGGCTTATATTATTCCCATCTGAGGGGCACAACATATTGTTCTTTAATATTAACTCAGTATGTTGTCCTGCTATTAAAGACACGAATCCCCAATTAGTCAAGTGAAGATGATTTGCAATGGAGAAATATTTGAGTCACATTGACCTCTACTCTCACACAACCTACAGTCGGCATCCTTGCACTTCTATGTGCTTCACCAGCATCTACTGGGTTGACTCTGGTAATAACTTGCTTGCTCTTGCATTCACTTTCATACTTGAGCAACAATATAAGTTTTCTGCACATGAAACTGCCAGTCCTCAGAGAACTGTATTATGCTATTAAGAGCACCTTGAATTTGTTTTCTATTCACTATATTCTTCTCAATAATAAATAAGTTTCCAGACCTCATTCTTTAAAATATATAATTACCTCATTCTTGGAAACTGTAAAAGGTCACTTAAACTTCCAAGAGAAATGGAGCAGTTAGCAATTCCTCACAATTCGCAACCAAGCTATCCAAAGCAAGGAATAAATTTGGTTTTTAAGAGAGGGCAGAACTACATATCATTTTACAATCAAGATATCAGCTTCCTTTGCTACCATCTAGGCCAACCACATGCTGGGTAACTTGTAACTAACAGTGCTGAGTCTTATTAAATAATTCCAGCTATGATACAGCAAATATTACCTTAAGCTCAGCACTCTTTAACATGGTCTGTGGTCATCTTGGAGCATAACTTAAATTAATTCATGCTCTCAAAGATATATAATGTACATAGTTTTCTTGCAAGCCAAGGCCTTAGTATACAGCGAACTACAGAAGCATATCAAGTATTCACTACAGACCCTGGCAGTGGTCATGGTTGGTGCCTTCAACAACAAAAAGTGTACCAGACCAGCCAATGAAAATATATTATCAAACCAGCAATATATAAATTTATGAATGACCTTGAGAAAAGGTGAAGGAAAAGAGAACAAATTCATATTACGGACATATTATAAGTATACAATCACTCAATTATCAAGCTAAAAAGGAAAAATAAATTAAAAAAATAATAAACAGAGCCTTATCAGTTCTTTCTACTGACCCTATCCCATGAGATTTAAAACCATAAAAGAAAGAATTCTGATTTCAACACCATTTTCAATTCAATGTGCAGCCCTTTCCACATCAAACAGTAGGAGTGAAGAAAGACATTACCCTCAAATATTTCAGAATAATGACCAACTCTGTCAGCAACAGATCTTTCCATCACTATGATTGAAATCCTTTAAATTACTACGAAGCATTTTTTTCAAATTACTTTGTATTATTAAAACCAAAAATGATCCTCAAGGAGCTAATCACATCCCTTGCTTTGTAGCATTGAGGTTTCCTTGAGAATCAAAGAGAAGCCAGGAGTTCAGAGCACCTACCATTATGATCTTGCTCCAAAGAGCTTGACTATTTACTTAACAGAGATGTGAGGAAAAATACTTCTCTAAATTTGAATGAATGGAAAAATCTAGTATCAAAATATGTTAAAAACTGGATCATATAAATTTTTATGTTAACATAAAGCAGTATTTTAGTATTTTTTATATTTTCATGAAACCTGGATTACATAGTAATGTAATAAACAATGACTATTAATTCCCTAAAATGGAGATTAGTATCATCCAAAATGGCTCAGGTAGGTGCTACTAACCTACAAGCTTATGCTGCACAGCGGAGTCAGCAGGAGGTAACTTGCTGATGTCAGAAAGTCTAACAGTGAGATTTACATTATGGGAAGCCTGAGGCAATTTTCATCAGCTTGCTTTAACAGCCACTAGAATTTCCACACTCATTG